CAGAGAATTGAACAATGGCCCTCCAAGGCTGGGGAGGGAGTGATGGGGGCAGGTCCTATAACAGGACCCAAGTTATAGCAGGTGGGAGGAATAAGTTCTGGAGTTAGGTAGGACGGCTAGAGGTAACCGGAAGAGAGGATCTGGAATGTTCTTACCACACAGGGAGGATCAGAGTCTGAGGTGATGGGTCCACGTTTGGTTTATGGTCCCACAATGTATTCTTTTACTGAAACATTACATGATACCCCATAAACACAGCGCTTATCACATACTGGTTAAAAATGAGCAAAGCCAGTCTGGCAGTGTAGCTCCGGGGTAGAACACAGGTCGAACCTGTGTAAGTCCTGGGTTCAGGCCCCTGCACGGTAAAACCCATTTTCTCAGTGCCGCATGCTATTGTGACAGTAAGTACCTGCCGTGCGTTCGCCCAAGCCCACAGCAAGCACCACTCAGAGATGGAGCCTCACGTAAGCCGTGGAGTCTGGGTGACAAAGGCGTGTCTGTGCACGTTCATCAGTGAACCAAGTATACAGCTCTGGTGGGGTGTTGTTAATGGGGGGGGGACTGCTGGTGGGGACAAGGGGCCAGTCGTGCACAGAGAATCTCAACGCCTTCCTGAAATGAAATTTTTATTTTAAAAAATCTTTGATAAAAAATAAGATTTATCAACACACCCAATTGTAGGATCTCCCCACCTCTGACAGCACCCACTCTAGAGAGCACCCCACCCTTAGAACCTCTCCGGCCCACTCAAAGCCAAGCCCATTCACAGGTCTTGGTAACCCTCTGGCCCTGGGGTCTTTCTTCCTTATGATGCAAAGGATCATAAGCCAAATGTGCTCAGCTCTGGGTTCTGGTGGCTTTGGCTGAAGAGCCTTGATGCTGAATGGGTGGCTCTGGGCACGTGGCTTCAGCACCCTGGGCTCAGGTAGAAATCGTGAGATGGATGTGTGTGGACTGCACAGGTGAGTCCTGGCCCAGCTTCTCTGGCTCTCCCAACTCAGGGACACTCGCTGCAGTTGCAGGCTGTCCCCCCTAGGGGGAGCTAGGCAGGATGAGAGCTTGTCTGCTCTCAACAACAGACAGTGGGCCCTGCGCAGTGGGCCCTGTCCTCCAGGGGGCCCTCGCAGGCTCCTGGCCCACTACTGCTGCAGACTCCAGGGGTGTGGCCTTCTCTCCCCACCCTGCAGTCTATGGACGCTGAGTTTCAGGAGCACCTTCCCTGGGGACCTGCGGTTTGGAGATGGTTCTGGGCAAGAGAGGAGGGGTCCCCCAGAAAGATTCGGGGCCTATGGCAAGCGGGTGGGTTGGGTCAGCCAGCCACCCAGGCTGCTCCTGGTACTGCTCACTTGCTGTCTGGGACCCACTGCCATTCCCCACCATCTTTCTTAATAGGTTTTGGTTTCAGAAGCCCTGGGCAGGGACTCTGAATTCCCCAACCGGTCTCCCCCCTGTGGCTGGCCCAGGCTCACAGCTCACCAAGCCCCGGGCAGGCTTCCTGGAGGGTAGGGGATAGGCTTTAGAAGGTGGGGAGGACTCTCTGCAGTGACCTTAGGAAGTGACAAAAGGGAGGAAGAGGAGGCCCCTTTGGAGCCCCTCACTGGGGCTGGAAAGGGGGTCTTGAGAGAGCACTTGACCCCTCATTGGCTTGACCATGCGTCTGGAACTGAGAGCTGTCCAGCACCTGGAGCTGAGACCCTTCTAGAACTCGGGCTCTGTCAAGGTTGGGGGCAGCACTGTGGAGAGGCTGATTATACAAGGCTCAGTTAGGAAGGACACAGCATCTTTGACTTTACAATCTGGAAACTGGAGGCCAGAGAGGTGGGGGGCTGCCTAGGGTCACCCAGCAAATTCCTAGAGGAAGCCGGAGGAGACGCAGGTCGTCCGCACTCCACAGCCCCTCCCCGCACAGGGCTTGGAGCGATCTCTCTCGGGGACTGTCTGGTACTTTTCCATCCTCTGCTACAGGGGCGAGGAGGAGTCAGCAGCGCAGGGGGCCTGCCAGCTACATCCTGTCCCCCAGCAGCCCCGGGCCCAAGACAGCCTGGTCGCGGCGTCTGGCAGATATGCAGGTCCTGGGCGCTTGGCCATTCGCCCCGTGCCGCCCCTTCCCCGCACAGCGGCCGGACACTTGCTTCCCCTACCCTTAAGGTCATCTGCTTGCTGCCCACTCTCCTGAAGCCCTGGGCTCTCTGTCCCCCCCAAGGTACCCCCCTCTCCGCACGGGGCAGGCAGGGTCAAGAGCTCCAGCAGCACCCCCACAGCAGACCAATGTCCTAGCTGCTGTCCTCCCCGCGTCGCCCCCGCCGGTCCCCGCCACTGCTGGCGCGCCCCACGCGTCCCCCGCCTGGCAGCTCGCTGTGCCCGGGGCGGCAGGTCCCGCTCTGCAGCCGCCGCCCCCGCAGCCTCGCCACCCGCCGGGAGCCGGGCGGTGCGTCAGCGGCTCGCAGCCCGCGCGCACTTCATTTATTCAATAGCTTGGGGCCTGAAAAACACCGGCTAAATTGCATCCCATTTTCCCCAAGCCCATTAGCAACCGGCGGCCGCCTTCCCCTCAATTCCGCAGAGCCCCCCCGGGCTCCAGGGGAGGGGGCCGGCCGCCTCTGCGCCTCCCGCCCCGGAAGGGCTCCACTCAACTCCGCATCGTTTTGAAGCCCCGGAAAACTGGCCTGTCCTGGTCTGGCCATGCGTGGGACCCCCCCCCAGTCCCCAGTCCCCAGGACTTGGGCACAAGCCCACCCGCCTGGGGCCCCTGGGGGACTGGGAGCAGCCCCCCCACCCGCTGGCGATGGCCCCGCCAGAGTTCACTTCTTTCTGCTCCAAGATGGGAAAGGGGATGGTAGGAGCCGGGAGCCAGGGCGGGGACTTTGAGAAATAAGGGACGGAGGGGGCAAAGGGCTTGGTGAACGGCCTTCCTGCTGGGGTCTGGGGTCTGGAGGAGGTACCACCCTGTTCTGCGGGATGAGCTTCCCCCCACCCCCGAGGCTGGCCACCCCCACTTCACTGACCAAATCTCCTGCGGGCCTATTCTTTTGTGACCCTGACCTGGTGTCCTGCTAGGGAGTGGCCCGAGACCCTCTCCCTATCGCCAGGTATATCCTGATGGGAACATGAAATACTTCCACACATGAGGGCTGCTGTCTCCTTGTAGGTCAGAAGCGCAGGTGAACCGAGAGGGGCTGATCTGATGCCTCCTTTGAGGCTGGGGGCAACACCCAGGGGGAAGCTTTGTGCTGTGCATGGGCGGGGCTGGGGAGTCGGAAGACGGATGAAGCCAGCCCCCTTAGAGGTGGTCTGCACATCTCTCCATGGGAGGAAAAGGGGCCTCCCTGGGCCTCCCCTCGGGGGCTGTCCTCTCTGCAGATCTCTTTGGGGTCTGTGTACCAAGAAGTAAGAGTGTGGTGGGCTTACAGGATGAGCCAGGAGCACTTACAGCAAGGGGAAGGTGGCCCCTGGCACTGAGACCCCTGACCAACAGAGCTATCACACCCCTGCTGAGGGTCTCTTCCCTAGTTGGGGTCAAAGGGAGGCAGTAGCACAAGGCTCTTAGAAGGCTCAGCTGCACCTTGGGGGACCTCAGCCCCCTCCATGATGCACTGCAGAGCTTTCCCTGGCACCAGGATGCTGTTGCTCCTGGGGCTCTGCTCGGGTCTGCCAGCAGGTGCTGGGACATGTGGGGACACAGTGTCTGGACAGTAGTGAGGGGTGGTGGACCCCTGGACAGCGGAGGGTCAGATGGCAGGTCACTGTGACTTGATGATCTGTAGGGACCCTGGCAGCCACAGATCCTCCAGAGGGAGCCCCAACTCCCAGGAGAACCTACGCGTCATCTTGCTGAGGAGGAGGAGGGTGGTAGGATGCCCATTTTGCAGATAGGCACACAAAGGCTCAGAGAGGAGACAGACAGCCACAGTGTCGGTGAGTGGAAAGGGACACACCTGAAGCCAAGTCCTCAGACTCTGGAGCCTGTACCCAGGTCCGCCGGACGCGGTCTACATGTCCACACCCTCCCCAGGGTCCCCCGCTGACCTGGACACCTCGCTGGGGTTGGAAAGACCCCTTACCATGACTCTTTTCCAAAGTCACTTTGGAGAGTAGAAGTGTTTTTCAAAAGACGGGGTGTGTCCCCCACTGAGGGGTCTGGAGAAGGGCTGGAGGGCTGGAGCTCAGCAGGGGGCCACTGGAGGTTGGAGGGGCCTCCAGGCGGCTCTCCCTGCTGGTGACTAGCACAAGCCCGCCCTACCCTCTCGCCACAGGATGGACTGAGCCAAAAAAGAGGACTCTCTGGGCCTCAGTTTCCCCCTTTGTCACATGCAGCCATCCATCCAGGCCACCACTGGGGGACTGCAGAGGAAGCTGGAGGGGAAGGTGCCCCCTCCCAAGGCCCTCTGCAGGAGGGGGGCTGTCTGCCTTTGTGTTTGCAGCAGCGTAGGGGGGCGGTGAAGACCCAAGCTGCCCCCCCCCCAGCCAGCCAGACTGAGGTGGCTGAGCGCGGGCGGGCAGCGGCTCTGGGGAAAACAGTGAGTCACTGGCGGCCAGAGCGTGCGCTTCCCGGCGGCTGGAGAGCTGCGGTGGCAGGTTTCATAGGTAATTATGTAATTTACGAGGCTCCCGCTCGGGGCTGTGTCTGAGTCAGCCCGGCTGTGTCGTGACCAAGCGGAGGCTGGCGGCGCAGAGGCGTGGGCACAGTTGTGCCCTGGGCCCCTGGCCTCTGCCCTCTTGGGGGAGACAGCTAGCCCCAGGCCCTCCCCAGGCAGACAGTGGGGCGGGGGAGGGGCCGTGGGGACCTCAGACTGGTAGCAAAGCTTGTCCTCAGGGCTGGGGGCTTGCACACAGGGGTGGGGAGTGAGCCCCCTGGTTCCTGAGGCTGCTCCCTGCCAAGTGCTGTTAGGGCAGAGGCCAGTGACACTAGGAGACGCCCTCCTGAAGGCAGATGGACCCTTGTCACACCTTCCCTTTAACAAGCACCGTCTCTGAACAGACAGACACACAGGCGTAGGTACATCTTGCAATGCGTATTTATTATTCAAATGACTTGGCCACAGTGTTTGGAAGCCAGGAGCAGGAATTCCTGCTTCTTCCAGGCTCAGAGCAGCTGGGAGGACCTCAGTTGCTCTCTCCCTGTGGTCTGCTCCCCTGGGGGACCCTCTCCCACCTCCCCAGCTCCCCCAGGCTCCCAAACCAGGGCTTTCGGTCCTGCCGAGGGACTGTCCCAGGGTTCTCAGGCTTTTAAAATGAGGGAGGGGGTGTCTCAGTGTCCATGTTGTTCTTCCTCCTCGGGGTGCAGGGAGAAGCAGGGACCTGCCAGGGTCACAGGTGGACTCTGCCTTCTGAGAACAGGGGACATCTTGGAGTCTTTGAAGTAGCAGAAATCCAGGGAGGAAAAGGGAGAGATCCATCAGGGCGGACACTCCTGAGACGGGCCCAGGTGAGCAGAGCAGCCCCTGCAAAGGGGGAGAAAGAAGGGGAGTCAGGAGAAGCCCCCCAAGTTTTCCTGGGGCATCTCCCAGCACCCCAAGACTTGTAAGCCACCTGGAAGCTGTGTCCCACCCTCCCTGAGTGACCGGGCACTCTGTTGCCCTCTGTGTCCCATCTGCAGGGCAATCACCGCCCAGGACAGAGAATCCGATGGAGACACTGGACTTCGGGGTGTCAGGGTGCCCCAGCCTCTTCCCGTCTCTTCTCCAGTGTTTCTCTCCCAAACAATCCTCTCCCACCTGGTCCCCCTTCTATTTTTCCTGGCTGAAACCCACCACAGACAACCACCACACCCGGAAAGAGATAAATAAATAAAAGAAAAACAAGCTCAACTGCGTAAAGCAGTCCAAATCTGAATTTTTTTCCCGGCCTGAGTTAATTACACTTTAAATTGGCATGTTTACTGATGGGGGATTTCAAGCGAACAGAGGCTGCCCCCTCCCTCTGCAACTGTTTGTACAGTAAAACTCCGCAGGCTGGCGGGCTCCCCCAGGCTTGGCAGGCCCCCGCCGCTCCCCTGCCAACCGGAGAGCAGAGCAGAAACATCTATTTTCGAGTGTTAAGGAAAACGAGGCCTTCACAGATGGTGGGAGGTGTGCACCCCCCTGGGGCTCTGGAAACCTGCTGCACAGCTTCTCGCTCCAGGAAAGACCAAGGCCCCAGTCATCCAGGGCCGCGCCTGGTCAAGACGCCCCCATGTGGCAGCACTGTCCTGGGGTCCTCCCTTCTCCCTGGAGCACCCGTGGGGAATGTGGACGGAGCTCTGGGCAGGAGCCAGGAGGCCCCGTTTCATCTGCTCTCCCAACATGCGCCGGCCAGCTTCCTGGACAGGTGGCGCCATCTCTGCCTTCCTCAACCAACCCTCCTAACAGCCGTGGGCCTGCCAGACCCCAGGTGCCCTGGGAAAGTCCCATCTCTGCTCTGAGCCCAGAAGGTCCTTTGGCAGACACTTACCAGGCCCAGGGAACACCTCAGGGTCAGGTGTCCCCAGCTCAGACATCTTTCTTCAGTGGAAGTGGCCTGGTTGGGGTCACCGCAGGGTCTGGCTCTGGAAGGTCCACTACTAAAGACCTTCTGAGTGCGGGTCCAGCTGCCTGCAAATGGAAGACAAGGCCAGCAAGCCTCCAGCGGCTTCTCGGCTCGATGCCCCACACTCGGACAGAAGCACCATGGCAAGAAAGTCAACTCAGTCTCTGCCCCAGCTGAGCCCCTGTGACAAATGTCTGTCTGCACATTGGGACTGTGGGTGGGAGGTCCGGGGAGGCTTCCTGGAGGAGGCAGGCCCTGGAGCTGCTCCCAAGCCCAGACTGCCCTTCCTCAGGGTCCCGGCTACTCCCACCCCTGCCCCACTCCCTGGGCCCAGGGCCTGGCACCTCCAGGCCGACGTGGCCTGGCACACAGGTAATACGCCAGCTCCTCTCCATGTCACTGGGATAATGGGAAAATGATGAATGAGGCTCCATCAGACCCTGCGTCCCAGCCCTCAAGCCTGTCCTCGTCCATGACAAATGGCCCTTCCACCTCCACAGGGTCTTTTCAGAGGCCCCGGCTGCACAGCCTTGGCAGTGTTGGTAGAGATTTATGTCTGTCTGCCCCGATTCTTCTTCATTTCTCAGCTTCTTTATTACCTCAAAGAGCACGTTTTTAGTTATTCATTCCACAAACGTTCTCCGAGTGCTTCCTGTGTGCTTCCTCCAGGCAATAAAGACATCTGACTCATTACACCTTCGTGCCTGGAACATTCACTCTGCACTGGCATCTGGGGCTGGATTTGACCCAAGGAGACGGTATTATCTGAGCAGCTACTAGGACGTGGCACTGCAGCAGAGTTAGGGCCCTGGCTTCCAGAAGCAGAGCTGCAGGGCAGCAGCCCCCTCCCTCTAGTGTGGAGGTCTCACAGTGGTTTCTGCAGCCCTCTCAGGGTTGACAAAGAAGGCAACTCCCAAGTCCCCAGAGGTGGACCTTGCCTGAGTCTCAGTGAAAGAGAAATGCACAGCCCAGCATCCTGCCCTAACTGACCTCAGTTTCCCTACCTGTCCCAGGGTATGAACAGTGGCGTAGGCCAAGAGGAGAATGGAGTCCCATCCAGCCCCAACGTGGGAGGGTTCTCTGCATCCTCAGGGATCCCAAGGACAGCTCTGTGGATGCTCAAGCGCTGCACCAGCCTCTGATTGGGCCCAGGAGCGGAGGCCAAGGTGGGCACATGGGGGGGGGGCGGTCCTGGCTCCACTGAGCATACACAGATCTTGTTCCCCACACACAATGGAGACAGCGGACATCCCCTCCCCAAATGCCCTCAAGTGGGAGCAAAGACACAGGTCACCGTGGGTCTTGGGTTTTATAGTTGACCTTCAGGACCAGGGTCTTGCCCTCTCCTCATGTCAGACACAAACTAGCATCCATGGGTGCTGGCACCAACTTGGAGAGACACCAAGTGGATAATGAAGAAGAAAAAAAAATGAAATACATGAAAATTCTGGCAAAGCAAGTCTTGGGAGCCTGCCATGTTATACAAGAAGAATTCAAGGTCAATTCAATGAGACTGCTTTCTTCTAGGGCACAAGGGGCCAGTCCCAGAGCTGTGGACTCCAGCCAAGCAGGGCGATTAAGAAGGCCCTGGGGCCAGATGTGCCCTGCTCCACCTCTACCTGGGTGATCTGGGCCCAGGCATTGGGCCTCTCTGTGCTCCACTGTCTTATCTGTAAAACAGAACCTGCCACTGACAGGGCCCCGGGCCATGCAAACTCACTTTCAGGACAGCTGTACTTTTCTCCTTATCACCCCTTAAAAACAATGACAGAGAGGGACACAAGCCCAGGGCAAATCACTTTTCCAATCATGCCCAGAGGATGGTAAACAGGGCCCTTGCACATTGAAAAACCATATGGGCCCTGTGACCTTGGACTGCTGGCTGGATTTACATACTGCCTTGGAAACAGGCTGAGTCACTGACCCTCAGGCTGAAGGGTCCACATCGGCTCTCATTACGGCCACTTGGGGGACAGACATTTTCATTTGGCTTGTTGGATGAGAAAGGCCCTTTGTTTATTTTCCCTTCTCCTCAAACAATAGATAAATCAGTAATTTTGCCTTTAATGAGATTCTGCACCAAGCGGCACAGGGTTGCCATCTTTGAGTCTGAAATGAGTTGGGAACATGGATGCTGCTGATTGCCTGGTACCCTGGGCTGACATCTTGTCTCATGCATAATTCTCGAGTGGTAGATGAGGTACCAAGCACTCTCCCCCACCAGCGGCCCGAGAGACTCAGGGCAGCCATGCCTGCCAACGCTGCTGTGAGGCAGTGGTTACATTGGAGCAATTAACTAAGGCTAATGCCCGTCTCCCCACCCCTCCACCATACACACACTTTAATATATTCCAAAGATGTGTCAATGCATTAACAGCAATTTTCATCTCCAAATGTTCCCATTTAGTCAGTTCCATGCATAAAATATTAGCCCTGACACCAGGCTCTGGCCCATTGCCGGTGGAGTTCCCCAGAGCATCTGGCTGGCAGGGCCGGGTGGGAACACACCCCACCACATCTGCAGCCTAGTGTGGGGGCCCCAGTTTGAAAAGTGGAGAAAAGAACTCAGACCTCACTGACCTGCCCTGCCACAACCAACCCCAGACTCTCAAGTGACATCCTGGAAGGCATAGAAAAAGCTAGATCCCTAAATAGCTTCTAACAAAAGTGAAGAATCTAAACAGTGATCACCATATTCATAAACCCAGTGGCCACATCTTATGGAGTTCCCGGTTTGTGCTCAGCACTTTCCTGGGGATAAACCTCCTATGGTATCTGTCCTTGAGGACTCTACCAGTCAATCAACACTTATTCACTGCTCTGCTACTATGAGCCAGCCCTGGGTCCCAAGGGTGGGGATACAGCAGAGGAGAAGACAGAGAAACTCCTGCCCCCTGAGATGTTGCCATTTAAGGGGAGGGGGTGGGGGCACAAGTGGCTGTGAACAAGAGGCCATCTGGGAGAGCTATAAACTAGGGGGGAAAAGGCAAGAGTGTGACTGATAGTTTGTACCAGAATGAGGTGGGCTGGGCTGCTTCTGTTAGGGTGCTCAGGGGTGGCCTTGCTGCAAGGGCCATCATTCCCTTGGGAATCCTGAACCTTGAGAAAGGGGTATGCAGGACTTGGGGTGCTCACAAAGGCAGCACGGTCGGGAGGGAAGAGGCTGAAGGCAGCAGGGGAGGTGCCCAGAAGTGGAAGGGACATCTGCAGGAGCCCAGAAAGTGATGAAAATAAACAGAGGGTATGCCTGACACCAGGGCCGAGGCTGGGGGCCATGCGAGGACTCCATGTCCTCTAGGCACAGAGGAAGAGGGAAAGGTCCACCCAGGGGCCTTATTGTGGTGCAGCAAGGCAGATGGGCTCTGGAAAGTTCTCCCTGACAGGAGGAGGTCGGGAGACCATTGGGAGACTCAAGTGGGGATTCTGTGTGGTGGCCTACACCGGAATGGGCAGCCCCTCCAGCAGCTGCGGCTGCAAGGCGGCAGAGCTGGGGACCTTCGGGGATGGTGCTAGGAGCCTCACTATGGGCACAGTCCCTGGGCAGCCCCTGGGGAAAGGCAGTGGTTGCACCCTCGTGGGGAGGGTGTAGCCTTCGGAAAGAAATTCCCACAGCTCAGTGCTGAGCAGGCGAGCCTGGCCTTAGGAGGTGCACTAGGAAGACCCCTGCCCTCAGTTACTGAGTATCCAGATAAGGCTGCTACAGTAACTTTGGCAAAGTGTGGGCCAGGCGGGGTTGCAAATGGAAGAGCAATGGGAAACTGAAAGACCAGGTGACAGGTCCCGCAGGAAGGCCACAGGGACAACCAACAGAGGTTCTGCCACCTGGCATGGCATCGCACAGTGGAAGTCTTCCGAGGCGGGATTCGATGCCGGAAAGAGGTTGACTGTATAATATTCATCGTATAGAAAGTGAACACCTCACAGGCAACCTATTTCAGGTACCACCGAGCAGCGCGGACTCCAGAGAGGAGGCTTCTTCCTCCAGGGTGGCCTCCCGACCTCCCCGCTGCCCGCCTCCATGGCAGGAGGGATGCCCAGGGCTGCAGATGTGGGTCAAGCGCATGCTCAGCCGGCCATCAGCCATGCACCCAGGGGCCCAGAAGGCCGGTGAACCACGACCCTCCCGACACGAGCAGGCGCGCAGGCAGCATGCAAGGTGGGATCTGGTACTGAAGAGAGGTCGACCGTGTATTGTGCGTCATGATGATTGCGAACGCGCCACGGGCAACCTCTCCTCACGCACCACGCAGAGCAGCATGCGCAGCAGGCGGGCCGAGGCTCCTCCCAAGGGCGTCCGGGTCGCCGAGGGGTCCAAGGTGGGACTGGAGGGAGGCAGCCAGTGCTGGGCAGCATGCAGGCAGGACTCCCTGGAGACTGGCCCCTCCACCTCAATGGCATCGCATAGAGGAGGGCGGGGCCTCGTCAGGAACCCCGCAGGCACCTCAGGGCCTCGCCAGCAAGAGCTGGCCTCTTCCCTGAGGCCGGCCCAACCCCCGGAAGCTCCCCCAGGCTGAGGCTCAGCAGAGGGGGCGACAGCGCCACTCGCGGAATCCATGCATTCACATACCCTGCACTGGCTGCGCCCGCGCACGCTGAGAGTGGGAGGTGGTACTGAAAACAGGCCATCTGTGTTATATTCGTCATTAATAAAGCGAACTCTTCACAGACAACCTCTCCTCAGGTACCCACAGTGATGCTGGCACAAGGACCTCGACCGTGGCCTCCGCTGGTGCTGCCTCCTCGGGCGCCCTGAGGATGGATTGGACGTGGAAGGTGAGAAGAACCAGGGGGCGCAGCACACGCCCCGCCCCGCCCCGCGTGCCAGGCCCCCCGCCGAGGCAATGCCCCCCCCACCTCCTTCCCACCCCCACTCCCAAGAGGGCCGCATCGCCAAGAGGTCCTCCAAGGTGAGATTTGATACTGAGAAAAGATCAACCATGTATTATTCGAAGTCAATAAAGCGAATATAACACGGTCGATCTCCCTTCAAGTACCAGCAGAGGCGCTGAGCTGCGGAGCGAGCGGCTTCCGGGCCGGCCGCAGGCTGCAGTGGGCGCGGACGGCTAGTGGACCAGGTGAAGTACATTAGAAGCAATTACTTTCCAACTGGTCGACCATCCGTCCTGTGCCCCAAAGCGGTGCTGACGCTGCTGTTCTTCCCCGAGGTGCCTGGCCTCCGAGGTGGCCTCCCTGGTGGAATTTGATACCGAAAAGGGGTTCACCGAGCAACATTCGTCGTCCAGATGCAAAGTTGCTCGGGTAACCTCTCCCCAAGTACCAGGCAGATGCTTCAAGGTGGCCGTGCTTCCCAAAGACCCCCCCCCCAGGGCAGCACATTTGGAGGCCACAGTTTCGCACTCTGCAAGGTCTCCCCTTCACTCCACCCATCCATGCCTGCCCAAGTGAATCTACTGTGTATGGCCTCCCACACGAATGCTGGACTCTTCCCCAAAGCTAAGAGACCCACGCAGGGTCTGACTCAGCAGCAGTGCTAGGATGGGCACAAGGATGAGACCCTTCCCAGCCCCAGAGAGGGCGACCCCAGGGACACCCCTGGGCATGGGTTATCTTCCATTTGGAAGGAGCTGGCCCGGCAAGGACACTAATACCCAGTAGTCCCCCCCCCCTCGGACTTTGCCCACATGGCCTCTGGTCCACTAAGCATCCCCAGTCCAGTATCCTTCAGTGATTTAACACGTTAAAAACAATGGCCTGCCCACTTGATGAGCCCCATAAGCAATGGAAAAAAAAAAACTTCAAAAATAAAGAGGGTGGGAGAAGAGAGGAAGAAAAAAAGCAAATGAACAACAAATGATCTCTCTTCACAAAATGGCAGAGCAGCCCAATGCCAGAACCCCAGCTGTTCCCATGAACCCGTCACATCCAGAAAATGCCTCCTACAAGCAGTTGGCTAGCCGGAGAGGGCTGGGGTCAGACGATATAAGCCACAAGCAGAGTCTGGATTCTGTGCCCACCACCCATTTTGTGAACTTTGGAGTGGGACCGACAGCAGAATCCTTGCCCTGACGTTGGCATGAGTTCAGAAAGCCCTCGAAGTCTTGCTGCTACTGGAGCAAGAGGCCAGCCATGAAAGTTCTGTCATAAAGAGAGAAAACACGTCCCAGGTGGCTCCCTGTAGGAGCGATGGACACTGACCTGTTTAGCTCAGAGTCTCTTCCCGCAGCTGCCGTCTGGAAGTGCTCGTGAGAACAGCCGGGTGGCGACGTTGAGTGGATGAGATGACATACATTATCGCTACACTCAGGCACGTCCAGGCTGCACCTGCCCCGGAGAGGGCTTCCAGTGCTGGCCATCGCCCGAGAGTGGCATGGCTTCTGCAAGTCCTCCACGGTGGGGCTGATCTGGAAAGAGACCCAGCATGAGTTCTGGTCACCAAATAAATTGCATGCTAGCAAGTGGCAACCTCTTTTCACCTTGATCCCGGGACATCAACTCCAGGATGACCCCCCAAAGGAGGCTCAGCCTCCATGACCAAGTGACGTTCACCACCAATGAAGGGCACATGATTGAGGGCACCATGGAGAGGGGCCAACACCAGAGTCCAAGAAGGATTAAACCTGGACTATTCCATGCTTCCTGCATGTGGCAGCAGCGTGGTGGGCAAGGTTCTGAAAGACCCAGCCCCATAGACCATGGAGCTGCCACCTCAGATCCAGAGGCAGCAGAACCCCACGTACATGGATGGGGGTGAGCAGGTGGCACCAAGCCAGGTGATGCACATCACCCATGTGGTATGTGCTTGGGTGACATTATGCACTCACACCCCCCAGAGGTCACCTTACCAGCGTGGCACCCCTGAAGTCAGCATGCCCGTCCAGGATGGTCTCTGGGAAGATTTGGGACAGAAGAGAAGGTTAGTTGCAGGAAGGACAGTGTGTTTTGACCCTGGATCCCCACTGACCCCATGAACTCCCTCCAAACACGCAAGAGTTTCACCGTCGGAACGAGAACTGTACCAGCATTGATTTTCATAAAAACATGTTTTTCGGAGTGAATTGCATTAAGCTAATCCAATTCCCTGTTTAGCTTCCTTCACAGCACTGTTGAGCTGTTTTCATTTCTTTTATTTCCCTTGTTATTTCCCGAAAATCATTTTCATTAGGATCAATTCTTTTCCATTTAAAAATTTGAATGAAGATTTGATTCCTCAATGTGCTTTTGTCTACATCAAATATTCCTGTTTACAGCTGCCACCACCGGGAACTTCCTCTGTGGCCACTGTGTCTACAACATTCCATTTCCCCAGGTCAAAAGTCGCAGCTGAAATGTTGTCAAGAAAATTGGATTCTTCTGCCAATTTGTAGTCAATTGAACACATTTTCCTCTGAGCCGTTTCAGTGGTTTTTAGTGTTATTTTGTGTTCATTATTTTTATCACTATTATTGGATATAAACAGAAAGAAATACTGATCGCCTCTGTGCATTTCAACAACCCACGAGAAACCTGGGAAGAGACAGGAACTGAGGCAAGTAGGGGCACAGAGGGAGAGCAGTGCTGTGAGAGGTGACAGTGGGAGGGACCGAGGGACCCTGGTCACCAGCACTCTGGAATGCCAGCTCTTTATTTATCCACAAGGTCCAAGTCTCTTCTGCTGCCAAAACACCTTTGGGGTCAGTGGCCAAAAGGGAGATGTCAAGACAGAGGTCCGAGGTCAGAACTGAGTCCCACTCAGCACTGTGCCACATGGTCACCATGTGCTCTTGTCCACTGGGGAAAGTGGCCACCACACCTCGTCCACACCACCCATCCTCATTCATGGGCCACCAGGTCCCGGAAGCCTTCCCAAGCCGGACTTGACACTCAAACAAAAGTTGCCTTTGTGTGATTCAACGTAAATAAAGCGAATTCACCAAGGGCAACCTCTGCTCCAGAGTCAAACGTCAGCACGGGCAAGAACACCAACAGATGCTTCTTCGCCCGAGCACCACTGTCCCCAGGGGCTACTGTGACACAGACTGCTCTCTGGGTGACTGGCACTACCTTCCAGGAGCCCCCAGTGTGGCTGGAACATGGTGTGCCGAGGGCCATCTTGCGGGGGTTTCAGAAGTGGTCCCTGACTGACTTCAGGTGCACCCAGGGGACATGAAGCCGAAGTCCTGTTCCCAAAGCTGCATCTCTGCTGGCTAGTCCCCCCTGGGGGCTTAACACAGAAAAAGGAGCTGCAGCTTTCTTGTGTGACCACTGTATGGTCCTCCGGCCCACTGGGGGCCTCACATGCTGACCTGGAGGCCAGCCCCTCCTCCTTGAAGGCAGCGAGGGGTGGGCAGGACTGTAGGGGTGAGCAGACAGTGTTGTAGGGAAAGAGGGGGGACAGGACCATCCTCCAGCCACTCCTTCCAGGAGGCCCCAAAGAGGGCGCAAAAAAGAACCCATGTCAGATGGCGGCCAACCCTCTCCCTGCACCTCAGCCTCCTGTCTCCTGTGTGTGCTCAGGGCCATGGGGAGGGGCAAGATCAACAGACCCTATAATAGCACCCCTGTGATAGTGACTGTTGCAAGACAGTGGTTACCCCGCCTTCCTGTGCTGTGCGCCCAGCACCATCTATATGCTGAGCATACACCGAGTTGCTATACCTACCTTCTGAGCAGGTACCACCCCATTCTTCAGGTGAAGACACCAAGGCATGGAGAGGTAACAGGTTAATTGACTCATTCAAGATCATTACCAGTACAAGCACCAGGTAGGAATGAGTGCTATAAGTGACTCTTGTCTTGCACCAGGGCCAGTCAAGTCACCATGGACACCTGCCTTCAAACACTGTCAGTTCTCTCCATGAGGAAAACCTCTCCCCCCACAGCTGAGGATTATTGGGTGCCTTGGATTGAGCCAGTTCCTTCAAGCATGCCTCTATCCAAGAAGATGGCTTGCAGTGTGCAGATTTTTTAAGCTTTCTTTTTTATAAGCTTTTTTTTTTAATAAGCTTTCTTTACTAACGAGTCTTCAAAGAAGGGAGGGTAACATGACCCAGAAAACCATAGTCTCATCTACACAGTCAGCATCACTTCTGGGAAATCCTATGATGACAGGTGACCCACGTCTGATGTAAAGCACTTGTCATGCAGAAGTGACCCATTTCCTTACCCTGCACAGGCACTGGCTGGAGCTTCCCCTGGCGAAGTTTTCCCAAGAAGAATTTAGTACCGAAAGGAGATTGGCCATGTAATACTCATCATAAATATAATGAACACACCATGGACAACCTCCATTCGAGTACCGGACTCGGGTGCTGGCTGCAGTGTGTCCCTGGTGGCAGGCCTAAGGACAGATGGGATGCAGAGGGTCAGGAAGCCGCCATGCACACCATCCACCAGACCCACGCTCTGCGGTCCGGGCCACCTCCCACCCCTGACTCCCCGGAAGTCTTTTGGGGAGGATGCCTCACAACAGAGCTCATCTGCAAGACATCACAGAGGGCAGCAGAAGAATCCCGTCTAACAGAGAAGAGCTCCTCAAAGGAACCACCTCATGAGCCAGTAGTACACCAGGAGACAGAGAACCTGCCCAGGTGTGCGCAGGTGTACCCAGTGACCATCTGTCCCCTCTGTGGGCAGCAGCTCCTGCTTCTGAGCTTGGCACTGTCCTAGGGTGCTTCACGGGCAGATGTGAGACTTAAAAAAAGTCAACTGTGGATGATTTGTCAAACGAGAGCAGCGCGGGCGACTTCAAGCACCCCAGGAGCTCTGGTAAGAAAAACTCCCTTTCTCCCCAAGGAGGTGGATGCCGCCTCCAGGAACCCTCCCTGGATGGCCAACACAGGGCGCAGGCCCAGCGCGCAGGCCAGGAGGGCGATGCCTTCCTGGGTTAGCTGTGGTCAGCGGTCCCTTCACTACCCTAGAGAGGGGATGACACCAAGCCACTGCCCTGAAGTCAGACTGTGCTCCAGGAAGTCCTCCAACGCGGGATTTGGTACTGAAAAATAGGTCAACCGTGTATGATTCGTCACAAATAAAGCGAAGGCAACACGGATAACCTACCTTCAAGTACCGCGCAAGGGCACCGGCCAGGCTGGGGCCTCCTCCACACTCGGCTTCCCCCCGAGGACTGAGTGAACGATGTGGGCGAGTGCACGCAGCGCCCACCTTCCCTCCTGTACCCCGCAGCCGCCCCGGGGCCTCGGCACCTTTGCCACAGAGCACACATGATTTTGATCATGGCAGGGACCACCCCCATTGCCCATTCGCACTGAGCCTAGCAGAATGATACTTCTCATGGGTGCCGTGTCCAGGAAGCCCTTCAAAGACCTTGACTGCGGTGCCGATCACACGGGAAGGGGCAGCACTGATGGCAAACTGCACTGTCCCGTGGCCTGGCACCGACCTCAGAATCTTGGCCTCATCCCTGACAGTGGACAGGACTCCCAGGACGTCTTCCTAAAGAGAGACGGTGTGCTTAGGGTTTATGGACCAGCCAACACGTGTGTCCAACTTAAAGCTTCTATTGCTGACAGGGAAGCCACCTACCTGTGGAGTGTGCTGGTCCAGGTCCATCCCAGAAGCTGGCCCTGTAGGTCGGCATCCTGCCACGGTGGAGGCAGCACTGAGAAGGGGCCCCCGGGCGCCACCATTTTAAACAGACCAACGTACAAAGCAAAAGACAACAGAGAGACGTACAGGTAAAGAGAGTTGCATGGACCCTGGCACGCAGGGGTGCCGTGATTAACTCCAGAAAAGACCTACAAATAACTCAGTTAATTCCAAAAAAAAGACCAAAACTGAAGTGAAAAGTATGCACAGAAAAGGAAAAAAATAATCCTTAAAATAGAGGGAAATTACCAGATCTAATAAAGAAGAAATAATAGGACTCAGAAACTGTGATAGGGAAAAATAGTGACTGTGTCACATCCTGGTAAAGTCACCAATATTCAAGACAAAAGAAAGAATCAGGACAGGTAAGCAGAAAAAAAAAACCAACCAACCAACCAAACAAACAAAAAAACAACCCCTCCAGTCCTGCAGATGTCCCAGAGGGAAGCGCTATGCTCAGGCTTGTCTATAGCAACATTTCAATATCAGGAGACAGCGCAGAAGGTTTTTGAGGGAAGGAGACAGAGACCCAAGAGGGTCACTCTGGGCGAACCCGTCATTCAGCTCAAAGGTTGGAGCCCGGTGCCACCTGACAGGCAAACGCTCCTGCACCAATCGACCACAACCACAAGCACCTTGGATAAACACCCAGAGGAAGGACTGAAAGAGACAAAGGCTCAGGCGGGAAGGGAGAGTCGAATTCAGAGAAAACACCTGCAACCTGCCCAAAGGGAACCGGGGGCCAGACCCACTGGAGGCTCCGAGGGTCTGCAGTCATAAAACCCAAGCTCGAGCCAGCACAGGAGGCATGACCTCGGCCCCCAGGGGGCGGGCCTGGGACAGAGAGGCAACCCAGAAAGGACCACGCCCGGGGAAATGACAGGAGGGTCCTCTCTGTGTAGGCAGAGGGTCCAGCGGGGCTCCCAAGGGACATCAAAGCTCCGGGACCAAGTCAAGGTGAGGATTTCCACCAGCCCAAAGGCCCAAGGCCCTTGAGCCAAGAAACTGGCAAAAAATCTGATCCCCAGAGGGGAAATCCTTGGGGTGCCAGACAAGGCAGCCCATAACATTACGGCTCTCGCGCCTAGGAACAGGACACCTCCAGCCTCAGATGACATGACGGAAAGTCAGAGCCCCCAAGGAGAGCCTGTCATGAGAGCGTCAAGGATCCACAGAGAGAGGCCGTGCCCCTGGGAATTTATACAGGAAGTCCCTTTACAGTGACCAGAGAGGTTAGATAGAACTGGAAATCCTGGAGACCACATAGAACAGTATAGGAAAAAAAAATAACAGGCAGACTAGACAAGGTGTGAAAGAAAAATAGACATTTTTAGAACTGAAAGACATCTCGGAGTATAGTAACCCAAAGTCTCTCCAATGACATATGCAAAACGCCCTCGGAAGGGCTGGGTGAGGCTTGGTGGGAGAGCACTTGCCCAACATGCCTGAGAGCCAGGTGGCCTCCATGTTTCCCTGTATTAGCTCATTCAGTTTAGGTGAGCAGGGGCTGCATGGAGAAGCCTCGTCCAAACACCTACGAATGTTCAATGCAGAAGGTGCTGGAGAAGCATCTACAAACCTCTCAGGAAAAATAAAAATCAACAGTAGTCAGAGAAACATGTGCCTAGCTGAGCTGTACCCTCTGCATAAAAGCAAGAGTTAGGTGCTTCCAAACGTCCAAGGTCTTGGAGACCTTCTTGAAGAAATGGTAGAACTTACTCCATTGAGGCAGAAATCAAAATCCAAACTCGGGAAGAGGGAAGCCCCAGTTTGAAGAAAAGAAAAGCAAGCATAAGTCATCAGTAGTGACTCCATTCACATACGGGGCGATGATGAGACACTTGTCAGAATCATGGGCAGTATTTACAACGGAGAAATTAAAATGCACAACGAAACAAGGAGGCGGGCTGTGGGGCCAGGGGAAGAGGGCCGTCTATCTCAGAACTCGGAGGGAGATGAAACAGCCAGAACGCGTGAACCCACCACTTTATGTTTTACACAATCACTGTCCTCGATTGTATTGGGATCGTTTAGGGGTTCATCCCTCTTGTGGTATGAATCCCTTCAACCTCCTTCAGCTATTCCTTATGCTAAAGTAAGTAAAATTAGTTGACGTTTTTAACCAATGAGCAGGTTACAGGGTGGAGGGGGGCTCCCATCTGTAGAGAGTTTCCCCTCTTCATCCACCTTCTCCTTACTCACATATGCCTTCAGATGGGCACCTCCAGGCCTTTACGGTTATTGGTAGGTGAATGGAGAATTGGCTAGTTTCTCTCCTTTTTAATTTAGATTCTCCACGTTGCTTGAATTTTTATTATAAGCACTTGTCATTGTTATAAATAGAGTAATGAGGTAGAACGACTATTATTTTTTTAAAAGAAAAATTAAAAATTGGAAACAGAACCGCCCTCTGTCCTCAGCTGTCGTGTGGCCGCCAGACCCACGGGAATGGCACCTCACTCATCACCGCTGAAGAGAGGTCGGCCGTGCATCGGGCATCATTAGATGCTACAAACTCTACACGGACAACCTCCCTCCAGGTACCAGGAGGGGTCGCTGCTTGCAGCCGCCCTGTGTCTTCCATGCAGCTGGGGAGCTTGGGAGCACCTCTGGGAGTGGACAGAGCCCTGAGGATGAGTGGACCCTGTGGCTGGATTCCCGAGTCGTACCCCTGGTCTCCAGTCAACCCTGGCTCACTGGCCCTCGATAAGCACTTCCTGCCCTTAGCCATGCAGGCAACACTCAGCAGAGCAGAGCTGTCGGGGCGCACACACTGCTGCACATGACTGTCAACAAAGCACGCCACGTGTCTGCCAAGCGGGCTAACACTGCCTCCTTGGTGGACCTGGGCTCCCCTGCAAGGAGCTCCCTGCAGGTGTGGGCCACTGGGGGTGAGTGAACCAAGCAACACACAAGGTCCAGGTTCCATTTTATCTCCACCTCAAGGGCTGACTAATAAAAGATGCTTCTGGATGCCCGTCCAAGTTAGAATGCAATAGTAATAAAAACGTCAGCCCGTGTGTTTCGGTATTAGTTTCTGAAAAGGCAGGCATCGCCACAACCTCTTGAGCGTTTTGTGAAGTAGGTGGTGCCCAGCACGTCCTCTTTAGGTCAGCTTGGACATCAGCAACATGCGTACTCAGCCATCCAGAAACCTACCTGGGAAGCGGCACAGGCTCAGGAAGCCCTCCGAGGCAGAATCTGACACTAAAAGAGAGGAGAGTCATGTAGGACTCACTTGGATGAACCGAATTCATCGCGGCAGGCTCACTGCAAGTACCACTGTGGACACTGGTGAGAAATCCACTGCCACTCTTGCAAAGGTGGCCTCCCCTTCGGAAGTCCTGTTAGGAATGGGTGGGATAATGTTGGGTAGTGGGCCGAGCCGAGTGACATACACCCACATTAAGTGCATGCTCACCCGAGGCGCACTTACCTGAAGGGGGTTCGGTTGGTCCTCTCCCATCATGAAGTGAGCACATCATGGCAGTGCCCCCAATGGAGTGACACTTTCGGGAGAACCGTGGCTGATCCTCAGAGTCGATATCAACTCCACGGATTCTCCTACAGAGACACAGGATGCTGGGGTTAGAAGACCAGGTGATATGACAAATAAACCATGCTCTTTGAAGAACACGCCAATCACACCCAAGGAGAAGAGCTGACCTACTTCAGGTCCCTCATGGGAAGTCAACGTCGGGTCCAACACTGAAGTCAGTCCTTCAAGGAGACTATGACGGATGAAGGAGCTACCAGAGATGACTCATTATGAAACACAACCCCCAGACCACGGTTCCTCCTGGTCCATTGAGCGGGCACAGCCGGCAAGTCCACCATAACTTTCCCACAGTTGGTAGGATCTCCAGAAGGTCTTCCTGGGGCGTGATTGATGCTGAGGGTTGGTGACTAGGTGGCCCACAGGGTGAACAGAGTGCATGCCCCTCTGGTCAACCAGTCACACACCCTGGACGGTGCTGGCACCAACATCTCTTCTGGAGATTGGCTTCTTTTCCAAGTCTTGATGCTGGTGGTAGAACCACAGCTGCCTCCCCAAGGTTGGCCTGGCCCACCAGGAGGTCTCTTACAGATGAATCGGATGCTCAGGTTATCAGACCAGGTGACTTACAGCTAGGTCAGTACACTGTCCACGGCCGGCCATCTGTACGTGCTCCTCTACACTGTTGACACACAGAGACCGTCTTCCTTCAGGATGTCATTATTTCCAAGAAGTCCTTAGAGGCAGCATTTGGTACTGAAAAAAGTGTTGTCCGTGAATGATTCGTCATAAGTAAAGCGAATCCACCACGAACAACTTCTCTTCAAGTACCACAGAAAGCAGACAAGACACACAAGGGGCACCCCCACATCTCCAAGGGCCGTGGTCTGCCACCACCGACCTGTGGGCAGAGTGAACACGGAGCATTAGTAAAGGCGCAGACGTTCGTCTTGAGAACACACTGAAATGGTAGGATCATCCACTTACCTCCACTGCCGTGATGCCGGCGCCATCCCCTTCCCTGGAGCTGGACTTGGGCTTCTGAGTCCACGTGGGCAATGTTTAGAAATGAGAAGAGGGAGGCCAGCTGTTTCTGGTCAGGCGTCCTCGGGGTTTGTGGAGAGGGCCTTGGACTCTCGACCAAGCGCACTTCGGGATCCAGCAAGCCCATGGAGGCACCAGCCAAGCGCCTCTGGGTCCCTCCAGACGGAGGAAGCTCTGGAGAAGGCCTCCTCACTGCCGCTGCAGGGGGCTCCTGTGTAGAGGGCCTGGCTCAGCCCACAGGCATCCTCCGGAGAACCTGAGGGAGACTCACCCAGCTCTTCCTGACCCCAGGAGGCCCCTACTGCCTCCCACCTCCACTGCGCCACCACCCATCTCACCCCAAGAACCACCCAAACAGCAGTTCCAAGAAGGAACTGTCAAAAACGGCTCATTCGCTTTCCCCCAGACAACCCCAGACCAGTAGGACCAGGTTTGATCTCCCAGGTCCCAGTGGATTCACCACTAGAAGTTCCTCAGAACCTGAATATGGTCCCCCAATCCCAACCTAAGAACCCACCTCCCTCCCCATGTCCCACCTGTCACCAGCGAAATCCCTCATGCCCCCCCTTTTTCCATCAGCTCCGCCCCCACCCATGGAAGCCTGCTCTCCTCCCAGGACACAGAAGGCTCTCTATCTTCTTGTTTCCTATACAGCAGGTCGGCAGTGGGCAGACCAAGTCCTGCTTCCTCCTTCCCTTCTTGGTAATGACACACATCGACGTGCCATTTGGCTGCCCAGCACTGACCCCCAATGTTCTAGCTTCTGGTTACTTTCACACAGTTTTACAGACCCCAGGCCACGGCCTCGCCTTGTATCTTGGCCATAGAGTAATGAGACCCTCACCACATTGGCTGACCCACCCCACGACCCTGACTCAGGGTGACCTTTGGACCTCGGACCCATCCCTTTCCTTGCTTCTCACTTCTGATGTGGCTGGCCTCAGCCAATCCCCCCACAACCTGCTGACTCCACCTTCAGGAAGCCCTACATGCTCCCCGTCTCCCATTTCCATGGTGGATCCTATCCTGGTTCATGCCTCTATCCATCAGCTCTTCCAAGATCAGCACAACACCCCGATGGACTCTCTGTCGCAACCCTTGTGGTCAGTGTACCTTTGATCACCACCTCCCTGCAGGTTCCATCTCTCAGAATAAGGTCTGAAGTCCTATTGGAGTCTGTGTGGTCACCCATAACTCAGTCCGACCACTCTGGCCCTCCTGCCTTTCCTTATTAAATTTGCCAGAGGGTTTGTTATGGGCCATGCCCTCCTGAGGCTCTTACCACATCTCCACAGGGTCCACTCTACTTTATTCCCATTCCCCATCTTCCGAGAGAGCTGTCCAGAGCCCAGATTGAACACAATGTCCACCTTCCTTTTGCCTCTCCTGGCACCTTACTCTGATTTCCTTTTCTCCATAAAATTTAACAATGGAAAAAAAATATGCCTCATAGTCAATGTTCACCTGCCCCCCCCCATAACATCAACTCCACGTGAGCAAGGACTTCAGCTTGTCCAGTGCTCTTTATAAGGTCTACATCACCTGGAATACAGAATGCACTCAAGTGTTACTTGCAGAATGAATGAATCAGTTCTGTTGGTTGATTCACAGACCACATAGCAATGATAATAACAAAATAATCTGATTTTTTAAAAAGCCCTATCAGAAAGCATCATGGGCAAGCAGGTATCCCTTCCTAAGAGCATGAGAACCAGGGCTGGATGTCACTCCCAGTGGGTGTGAGCCAAGCAGGACACATCAGATATGAAGCTCAGACAGCTCCTCTAAGTCTGCACACACGTGGCAAGACATGGCAGATGCCCTGTCTCCCCCAAGGTGGGCACTGCTCCAGAAAGCCCCTCCAGGCCACATCTGATGTTCAGAGACTCTCCCCCGGAGCAAAAGTTATAAGAATGACCAAGGAAGCGTCAGTAAAGAGCACTGTCGGAAGATCCCGAGCTCACGCTCCTGCACGTGACTCTGGAGACTCGTCTTACGGAAGGCTGAGGTTCACTTGGAGCAGGAGGCAGATGCTCCGTGTGAGTGGGACACTCTCCATGGGCAGCCTCCTGGGAGGGTTTGGTGCAGATACCAACACCACTTCCTGTCAACCACCTTGCTCAGAGTTTGGCTTCCGGTCACTGGTGCAGCAGGTGACACGTGTCACAGAGGAAGCATGTGCATGGGATGACTGCCCACCACATACCTTGAATGGGTACTGAGCCAAGACCTCCTCCCTGAAGGTGGCGCTCTGTCCAGGAAGCCCTCCAAAGCAGCATTTGGTACTGGAAAACTGGATGTCCCTGTATGATTCGTCATAAATACAGCGAACACAGCAGGGATAACCACTCTTCAAGTACCGAAGGCGAGCGCGCGGCGACCACGTCCTCACCCAAGCAGCCCTGCTCCAGCCAGTCCTCCTGAGGATGAATTGGGGACTGAGGGTTAGGAGGGGATGCAGTGGCACTGTCCACCATGTCCATGCTCTCTGGCTAAGCATGCATTCTTGTCCCGGGATGGGCCGGAGGCCAACAGCTCTTCCCAGGCAAGAACCACACCTAACCTTCCCTCACAGAGCTCAGCATGAACCAGGCAAACCCAGCCATGTCCTTCCACGGCAGGAAACAGACAAGGGTGCCACCTCTTCTTCTGAGCAGGTGTGGCCTCCGGGAGTCCATCCTGAGAAGTCACTGATAGGCAGGGACCGTGGACCAGCTGACATACATCATCTGTAAAATGTATGTTGTCTGATCAACCATCCGCTCCCTATCACGGACAATGCTGCGCCTCCGGCGGGTTCTGCCGAGATGCGTCTCTCAGGAGTCTGTCCTGAAAAACAGCAGTTCCATTGGGATCAGTCACAAGCAGACGTCAGCTGCGATGCTACTCTCCCCCCAGCCCTACCAGGCATCCCAGGCCCTGGTGCCCCAGCTTGGGGGACGGCATGACGGAAACCCAACCAAGGCACAGGCTCCGCCGTGGACCATCCTTGCAAGGATCTGGGGAAAGTGCAGATACCAAGGTTCCACCCTGAAGTTGGGGTGATATCCAGAAGGATTTAGAGCAGAGAAAGCATTTGTAGGGTGAACTAATATGGACAGCACCTTCTCAGGAGTGGCAGTGGAGTCCCCACGCCTCCTGTATAAGGCTGGGGTATTGATGCTCAAGGACAAAGAGAGCCTGCCACCTGACAGGACAGTGTGCCCTGTGGCCCCTGGTACACCAGGCCTTCCTGGACTTTGGCTTCTGGCAGGGTGGGCTGGTTAATCTCTGCCATTAGCACCACTCTCCCCAGACTGGGAAACTCTACCAGAGAAATGGAGTGGGCACTGATGCCATCTGTCCCCAGAAGTCCTCTAGAGCTAGCTCGTGTGGGCCAAGGGATGGCCAGTCGGCGGCCACCATGTTATCACATGGGTCCGCCCTCCCCTCTACCTCGTGGTGGTACTGCTGTAGGTCCATCCCTGGTACTGGGATACCCTCCACCCGTTCCTCCACCGTTCTGAAACGAGGCGACCTGTGTGGTGTCTGTCACAGACAGTGCAAGAGCACCCTCACCAAGCCCCGCACAGTGACGCTGGTAAAATCATCAGCATCCTGTCAGTGTGGGGGCTTCTCCTGATGGTGCAGTGGGTCTTCTAAGTCAGTGCACGGGGTGGGAGGACACTGGTCAACACGACTGGCCCTGGGTCACCCTCATGCACAACCTGAGGAGGAGGCTGAGATTTCCATTGCCATGAAGCTGGTGTGCTCCACAGGTGACACCCCAGGTCCACTCCATGCAAACACCCGTCATGCTGGTCACCGCAGACAGAGCCAAGGCATCCAGTCAGGGGGCAGAGCTTTGGGGAGACTCTAGGGCGCTGCCCTTTGTGGAGAGGGCACCCTGTACGTGGTGGGTTCTGGGCCTGCCTCCCTTCTCTGTAGCTAAGGGACACCTGAAGCCTGGGTTCTCTTCCCCAGATGGGCACCATCCGCGGGAAGCCCTCAGAGCTGGAGAAGCAGCTGGCGGTGTGGTTTCCATCCGCAATGAGTAAGGGAAACCCCAGCCAGGCAGTGGCTGTGCCCCATGGATGTCCACCTGGGGAGGAAGTGGGCACTAGGACCATGACCTCAGTGAAAAAAAGGGAACGAAGCCCATGTCAGCCTGCCTTGGGCAGTTGGAGAGGCACCAGGCCTGGGCCCGGGAGCCTTCCTGAGATGAAGTGGACTCTGAAACCCAGAACGTCCCTGGACAGGTCTTGACGGAGCAAGTCACTGTTCCTCAAGGACCCAGTGGGCAGAAAACCATGCACTCCACCAGAATGCCATCCTGAATGACCTGGGTCCCCGGGTCCGTGCCTGGGGGGGTCCTGGCCTGGGGATGGGGACACAGCTCTGTGCAGGTCATAAAAACACATCAAGTTCACTGCAAACGGGACAACGCCTCCCGGGGCTCTTCCCCGCGGGCCTGGCTTTGGGGAAGCAGCCCTGACCAGGCTCAGAATGGGGCCGGGGCTCATAGCTCACACAAAGCACACACGCTCACGTGTCTTGTGCGGGTGCCTCGAGGCAGAGTCTGATATTCAAAAAGAGGTTAACCATGTATTATTCATGATGAACGAAGCGAACATAGCACGGATAACCTCTCCTCAAATATCCTTCAATAGTCTGACATGGAAACCATGGCCTCTGGCCACTGGGGTCTTTGCCCTAGAAGATCCTCCATGGGCTGAGCGGAATCCCGGAGGCGGGGAGGTGTGCGGTCACCATCTGAAAAGAAAGCACACACGTTGGCAATCAGACCCCAGCACCTCATCTTGGTCCCAGGGCCTGACACCAACCCAAGCCCCACAGTTGGAACCATGCTCAGAAAGTGTCCTAAGGTGAGTTCAATGGGAAAAAAAAAAAACAAAAAAACAAAAAACAACAAACAGTCTACTACCCCAGCATTCCTGAGAGATGGATCTGATGACCAGGAGCCGGCAGGTGGACGTACAGCCCCGGTGAACAAAGTCATCATGGATGATACCTCTTCTGAGAAAACGGGGAGCCACTGGCCCCTGCGGACAGGATCCCTCCTGCAGAGACGGCCTGGGTTCCAGGAATTGCTCCTTAGGACTGACTGGAAATGGAGTGTTACAGAGTCAGACGGCCTGTGTCCTCGGTGACGGGGAAGCTCTGTGCACCCAGCACCCGACACGTCTTGCAGTGGGTTGACACCGGCAGACCCTCCCCGGAGCAGGCCTCGTATCTGGGAAGCCCTTCCAGGCATGATTTGATTTTAAAGAACAGTAATCTCATGACATTTATCCAGAAAGTGAACCCATCACCGATAACCACAGTTGAAAACCCAAAGAACACCACATTGATTCCAGGAAGTGCCCTGGTGATGGATGGCGAAGGGAATGTGGGGAGACAAGGGACACACATCACAAATAAAGCACATCATCTCCAGCCCCAAATGGCCGCGAGTGTCGTCCACAGACCAGCAGCATTAGCATCACTTGAGAACTTGCTAAAAATGCAGAATCTTGGTCCCTGAATCAGAATCTGCTTTTTAACAAGATCCCTAGCTGATGAAAATCTTAGGAACATTCTAGAGTTCGAGAAACACCACTCTAGCCAACGACTCAGACACGCAGACGCGCCCCACCCCAGAGGTGCTGTGACCACAATGCCTCTTTCCAGATGAGAGTCTCGGATGATGTCGGTCCCAAAGAAGGCATGAGGCCAACGTCTCGCCCACCAAGAATAAACTATGTATCCCAATGGGCAGCAGCTTAGGAGCCACAAGAACTCGTGGTGGTCGGAAATGTTCTCATTTCTATCTGTACCACCCACAGCAAGTCTTCCGTGCACAGAACAAGGCCAAGGATCAGTGGATGCTGGGTCAGACACCCCCAGTCCACCCTCTATGTGCCTAGACAGGTGCTCGACCCCCACACCTCCACAAGGAATCCCTCAAGGCTAAGATTTACTAAGAAGAGAAAGACAGACGAAAGATGGTCAGTAACTTCCAAGCAGAACACTACGGCCCCAAACCCAGGGGCGTCTGCACACCAGAGCTGATGTTAATCCGGGGCAATCACACAGGTGGTCTACACTCTAGGGTCACTGAGTTAGTGATGACAGATTGTCAGTGAAGTCACATTCCGTGGTGGGGCAGGCACCGATGTCCTCTTGCTGAAGTCAGCACTGTGCTCGAGAAAACTTCTGAAGCAAGTTTGGATACTAAAACAATGGTTGTCCGATATTAATCATCATAAATATAGAGACCATACTACGGACAACCATTCTTTAAGCACCAAAGAACCGCACCATCAAAGGAGACCTCGGCTTCTTCTCCAAAGACAGGGGGTCTCTTCCGGCATGTTCTTCTCAAGCGGTCCAGACCAGAAGGGTTAGTAGGTGAGCTTCACACACTGAGAGTCAAGACATGCCTGGGGGGGCGTCAGTCACACCCTTGGGCAGGAGAAGGGAGTCTAACCTGATAATCTGTCCCCGAGAGCTTGGCTCCAGGTCCAAGAGGTGCTTCCAAGAAGCAGGATTTGATACGCTGTCACCCACGAGAAAGGCCCGTGGTCCTTGCAGATCTGTGACAGCACCAAGGAGTCCGCTGGACCCTGCCAAGCTTGGCCCCACCTCTAGGGCCCTGGGGGTAGAGCATAGCACGCACCTCACGCCAGCTGCATGCTCTCTCCCCACCCGGGGAGAGGCTGGCACATGCATGTCTACACAACTCCTCATGGCGTCCAGGAAGTCCGCCGAGGCAGGATTTGATACTCAAAAAGAAATTGTCCTTGTATGATTCATCCCCAATAAAGTGAATACACCAAGGATAATTTCTCCTCCAGGGTGAACAGCAGCACAGATGGAAAGATCAGCACCTCCAGGACTCTGGCCCAGTGTTGGCTGGTGACTGCGATGAGCACCACGTGCATGCAGGACACACGTGCATGCAGGACACACGTGCCGTGGAGGGCCTCTCTTTAAGCAGCAGGGAGGCAAGATGCCACAGGACCTCACCCAGCTCAGCCTGGCATTCTCACTCAAGGGCCCTTTGAAGGTGATGGAGGTCAAGAACCAGGGCCTGTATCTCTTAAGTGGAGCAAACATCCTTGGTCACCCTGCAGAGGCAGGTCTGCCAACCCCCTGTCCTGGGCACCGTGTTCCAGGAGCCACTGGGGGAATGGCTTAGCTGCTGCGCTTCAAGAGTTCTGGTGGCACCCATCCTAAATCCAGTCTGAGCCCTGACTCCATAAGCCACTCACATACCTGATGGAGAATGTGACTTCCCTATCAATACTGTCCCCAAAGCCCCAGGAGAGATTTTGATATCAGCACCAGCATCACCAACACCAGAAATAACACCTCACAGCCTGTGACATCAGGGCCACTCCCTGCAAAGTGCCGAGCACCAGGCTATCCCAAATGTGGACTCATTCAGCCCCGGCACCCCTGCGCGGCGGACACCCACACAGTTCCCATTTGACACGAGAGACAACAGGCACAGCATGAAGGCGTCTTGCTCAAGGCTGCAGTTAGGAAATATCAGAGGCAGGATCCAAACACAGGAAAACCGGGCTCCAGAGTCTGCGCTCTTGATACTGAAAAAGTGGATGACCCTGTACGATTCGACATGAGTAACACGAACAGGACAGGGATAACCACTCTCCAAGTACCAAAGGTCAGCACGGAAAAGAAAGCCACCACCCTGGGTGGGCGGACGCGGAATGTCTTCAAGGCGGGGTCCTGGGGATGAATTAGATGCTGAGGGTTAGTGGACCAGGTCACACACACCAAGCACGACATGCACACTCAGGTCATGGCGGAGGATGGATCCACGGCCCCACACCAGCACGGACCCGGCCCTCAGCCCCGCCTGGAGGCTGCCCGCGTGGGAACAAGAACCCAGACCACACACAGTGCATGCGTTGGGGCCCACCCACACAAGACCAGGACAGGGGATATCCCCAGGCCTTCCATGAAGCCGTCCCTGTGCCCACGAATCCGTCTGCGATCGGCCACACACGAGATGGAACACACACGGTCATGCACACACATACCGCATCCCTCGCTGAGTGTGCACCGTCCAAGACCACGTTTGATACTCACAGAGAGCTTGCCCTTGTATATTCCATGTCAATAAGCCGAATATACAAAGGGCAACCTCGCTTTAAGTACCAAACAACAACACGGGCAGGTCAGCACTAGCGTTCCGGGGGCCGGCCCCGTCTCCCGGTGGGCATCCTAGGGAGGGATGGGAGGTACGGAATCAGCAGACCAGGGGGCAGACACCACCTGCCAGGTGTGTGCCCACCGGCCAGCTCTCCATCCCAGGAGCCCAGGGAGGGCAGACTCTGACGCCCCCTCACTGGCTTTACTGCCTCGGCAGGTGCCATTGAAGGACGTGCACTGGGTGCTCGGCCTCTCACTGTCTGCAGGGACCCCCGGGAGAGGGACCACTGTCTCTAGTGTAGGCACCTCCTCTAGAAGCTTCCCTGATGATGCATTGTGCTCGGAGGGTAAGGGACCCAGCAAATCTACATGGCGGGTAGAGCAAAGGCCCTTTCTACCTCCCCCAGAGGCACTGACATCTGTCTCCCCAGGGCCAGCTCCTGTCCTAACTCCCTCGCAGAGAGGCTGACATCACGTCCATGAAGTCAGGCTGGGGAAGAGTTGCTTCTGAGTGGAGAAGCCGTGTACCACTGTGAACATGGAGAAAACGGCTCCCCACTCAGGGGCATCCCCCCCCAAGACACCCTTAAAAAAAGAGCAGGTGGTGGCTGCGACCGGTGAGTGGAGCTCCGCTGCCAGGTGGACACTCACCTCCTCCACAGGACGGTCGTGTCCCTTGGACGGTGGCCGATGCCCTGCCGGACGCTGGCTCAGGTCCATAAGACTCCAGGGCATGAAGAGCGTGAAAGCAGATGGTCACAGGTCCCCAGAAATGCCTCCGCTAACCCAGGACCCCAGCAGCTTCTTCAGACTGTTGTCCTATGGGTGAACGGAATGCTGCGGTCAGAGGACTAGGACACCAAGGTCACAACAGAAGCATTTTCCCTCTGACCTTCCAGCATTCACGCACCTGGTGCAGGGCTGATGGCCCTCACAGCTTGTTCCCAGGGACAGCTTCCTGTGCAGGACACCATCGCAGGCAGAACTCGAAATGACAAGTGACAAACACAAACAGGTCTCACAGATTTATCTCAGGGACCGTGGACCAGAAATCGTCCACCCACAGACCAAAGAACAGCATTAACGAGCAAACCTTGGCTTCTCCACAAGGCGACGGCACTTCCGGGAAGCCCTCCTGGATTGTCATATGCATGAAACCATCGTGAACATGGATGGTGACGGTGCTCTGTGGCCCTTGGTCACTCAGTCACTCATGCTACCCTTGAAAGTCCGACATCACGGCTCCCTTCCAAGGCTGACGCTGTGAGTCAGGAGCCCCTGGATAAGAGAAAGGGCAGATGCAAGTGAGATTCGTCTTTAAAAAGCAGGCAGCGTCGTACCTGGCACGGCATGAAAGCCCCCTGCCACCCCACCGGCTATGGGACCAGGACACCTGGACGTACCTGAGCAGGGCTGACATCAAGGGTCCGTCCTGGAGGACAGCTGAGCCGGGGGGCGTCCCAGACAGAATTTGATACTCAAATAAGAGTCTCCCCCTGTATATTCGCCATTAATCAAGTAAACATACAAAGGGTATCCTCTCTTCAAGTACCAAAGAGCAGTGAGGACCATGCTGCATGCTGGCCAGAGTGGACGTTTCACCTGCGGGGCCTGGGACAGAGTGGGGGGCAGTGACTGGCCGGCTCGGGAGCTGAGACCTCACCTGGAAAGGTGAAAGATCCAGGATCCCCTGGCAGCCGGCAGAACTGACTTCCAAGACAGGGAATGGCCGGGCCATCAACAGAGTCAACATGCACCCAGGAACCCCCTGCAGACCACCCGGCCCCCAGGGACGGAAACACTGCCTCTCTCTGAAGGGACTCACATGGGGCTCCACAAACCTGAGGATGTGGCTTTCCAAGATGAGGCATCCAGAGTCTTTCTCGGGTCTGAGTGGTGACACACACCAGTGTCCCTTCTCGAAGATGACGGAACTCAAGAGCGTGTCACCTGCACCTGCCTCAGAACACACAGAAAGCAGATCCTGAATCACAAAGGTCACATACACCCCCAAAAGGCATACTGTGGTGCATCCCCACTGGACAATGTCCCCAAAGAATGGCCAGAGGGGTCAGGTGACATTCCTAACACAAGAGCAGGCTCAGGGGACTCCACTCAGTCACTTGCCTTAGATGGCAGTGACGGCAACGTCCTTCATCAAGGTCACCGCCCCCTCGAGGCTGCAGCCACAGGGTGACCAGCACATCCGCTCAGCACGGGCTCCACGGGCCCCATCCAGCTGTGTCCAGGAGCTGTGAGCAGGGAGCTTCCAGGGGGGACTTGGTACGGAGAACGGGCAGGTCCTTGTGCAACTCGTCCTTTAAAAAGCAGGCAGCGTGGCACTGCATGCGGGCGGTTCCAAGAAGGAAAGCCCTCACCACCCACCAGCTGGGCATGGCCTCCAGGGGAAGAGCCTGGCACCTAGGGTGCAGGGAGGGCCGGACACCAGCAGCTCAGTGCTGTGGGACCAGGACACCTGGACGTACCTGAGCAGGGCTGACGTCAGAGGTCCGTCCTGAAGTAGAGCTGAGCCGAGAGCGTCCCAGACAGAATTTGATACTCAAATAAGAGTCTCCCCCTGTATATTCGCCATTAATCAAGTAAACATACAAAGGGTATCCTCTCTTCAAGTACCAAAGAGCTGGTCACAGAGCAGGTGAGGACCACGCTGTGTGCCGGCCAGAGTGGACGCTTCACCTGCGGGGCCTGGGACCGAGTGTGGGCAGTGACAAGCCTCATCTGGCTGGCTCTGGAGTGGGGCCCACACCCTGCACTCTGTGACCGGGCCCTGACGTTGGCTTTGTTCCCAGCATCACTTCAAGACAGGAGGGCATCCTGCACGGCTTGGCTCAGAGGGAATGGGAAACGTCTGGCCTCCCTTTGGGGTCTGCAAAACCACCTGGCAAAAGAGTCGGTGCCTCTGACCAAAGCCACTGCCTCCAGGAGGTCCTCCCGAGGAACCTGGGCTAGCGGGAGTGGGAATGCCAACAGCATGCATCGTGAAAGGAAAGAGAAACAGGACTCGCAGCTCGTGGGCAGCCACCCCTCGCAGGAGGCAGCAGCGCTAAGGCAGGCGAGCCTTCCCCTGGGCCTGGCACTGGGTTCAGCAAGCGCCCAGAGCCGTGAGCTGTGACCCCACAGCTATACAGATGACCCTCAGTGACCCATCAACATCAATGCTCAGATGCCTGTGGACAGGGAGGGTGCTGTGGCCCAGGCCTTCTCATCCCAGTGGCACTTCTGGGGCCACCCTTACTGGCCAACGCCCCCTCTTCTTTTAAGTGGACAATAAGGTCCAAAAGTCACTCTGAGAGTGGGTGAATCTGGGGTTTGGGGACGCCACATGACAAACTTTTAAAAGTGGCCCTGACTTGCTATTGGCCTCTCATGCATCTGGGAGGTGCCCCGACACCTGGGCAGCCCTGCCGGGCCGCAGTCCCGCAGGTGCTGTGCCCACCAAGGAAGGCAGCGTTTTCTAGACAGAACCGCAGCTCTGCAAAGAAAACCACGAGCCACCTCCAAGGACAGCACCTCCCCTACAGGGTTCTTGGAAGGACGCGTGGATGGGAGGGTCAGAGGACAGGATCACAACCGGAAGAGACAAGTCTGGCGGCCCAGCGCGTGTCTGTCTGCGGCCCTGCAGCAGTCCTGGCTCTCTGACCTCCCGAAGCCTTCTTTCCCAGGTGGCTCAGGACGGATTTGCTCCTCGCAGAGAGCTTGCCCTTGCATATTCATGGCAAGAAAAGCAAACACACAAAGGATAACCTCTCTTCAAGTAGCAAACGATAGCACTGACGGCAGAGGCTCTCCCTGCGGCAGAGTGGGCAGCAGCTCCAGGAGTGGCCCTGAACAAACAGATGGGTCGGCAGAGTTAGGGGGCAGAGCCCGGGCGAGGTCTGAGCCAGGACACGCACACGTCCAGCCCTCCACACCCCAGAGCCCGCCCCGGCCCCCACAGGGCCCCTTCCTGAAACCCACAGCCCACCCAGGTATCCGCCACAGTGGCACTGGTAACCGAAGAGGAGACCCGAGAACATCCCAGATGGGGTGACACCCAGGGAATGGGCTTGGTTCAGGGTCACTGGAACCTTACTTTCTTGCTTATGTAACCCAGGCAAGAAAGAAACCCACACAGGGCAGGAGGCGGGTCACCAAAGCCCAACCTCTGCCTGTGCGCGGCGGCACCCAGGAGGTGCACGACCATGCACCCTCCCTTCTGCGGCCCTTCCCACCGACGGAGGTTTCCAAGCAGCATTTGATACTGAAAACGTGGATTTTCCTCTATGATTAATCATAAATAATGTACTCATAGAAGGAGAATCTACCTTTTAAATACCAAAGAAAGATTGCATCCCGGAAAACGTGAATCTGCGCTTGTGTCGTCAAAAATGAGACTCCATAGAGCGGGCGGGCCTCCCCAGAGAGCAGGAGCCACAACCCACCAACGCGCTCGCTCGCCACATCGGCCGCTCGGCACCCCCGTCCATGACGACGACGTGACACGGGTTCCCCCATCTTTACGCCCACCCGGGCCCTACAGCCTCTTCCAGAAATACTTCCAAAGCAGCATTTGATACTGAAAACATGGATTTTCCTCTATGATTAATCAAGAATCACGTAAACATAGAAGGAATATCCACCTTTTAAATACCAAAGGAGGACTGAGTCCTGCAAGGGAAAATCTGGCCCAGCTCATCACAGCACACCCAAGACAGCAGGGCACCCGTTCTCCGTCCCCAGCACTGCCACGGCGACCAGGTGCCTGGCCTCTGGCAGGCGGGCTCCTCCGTGAGGGGGCGCCTAAAGGTGACCCACGGCAGACACGTGGCAGGACGGGGCACGCGTCCCCCATCTGTGCACTTACCCGAGGCTGCACCCGCCTCACCTCTCTGAGGACGGGTTTTGTCCCACACGCGAGCTCCCAGGGCCGCATTTGATACTGAAAACGTGGATTTTCCTCTATGATTAACCATCAAACACGTAACCATAGAAAGAAAATCTACCTTTTAAATACCAAAGAAGACTTAATCCTGCAAGGTGTGGACTAGGCACAGTCCATTGGAAGCACCGGGGACGCTGCACAAGAGAGATGGGCCTTCGGAGGCTGTGCCAACAGCCTCGCCCCTGTGCCCAGCGGGCGGCACGAGCGGGGGTCTCCTAAGACAAGCGGGTGGCCCCCAGACATATGGCACAAACCAAGCACATGCTCTGAGGTCCACCCTTGGTGCACTTACCCCGAGGGGCACCTACTGTCTCCCTGGTGGCAGCTCCAGTCCAGGCTGTTCCCAAGCAGCATTTGATACTGAAAACGTGGAATTTCCTCTATGTTTAATCATAACAACATAAACATAGAAGGAATATCCACCTTTTAAATACCAAAAATGGGTTTAGTCCCGGAAAGCATGAGCCTTAGCACAATCCGCCAGAAGTAAAGGTCACACAGGACAGGCCCCCTCAGCACAGGCCTCGGGGGGTGGCGGCAGGGATGCCGAGCCCTGGAGGACAGGGGTCCCAATGACAAGCCTTGCCAACAGAAGCAGAGGCTCTGGGATGTGCCTACCATTTGCTCCCTGAGGGGTTTTGAGGTCAGAACTCTCTGGAAAACAACCTTTAGGTGGGTCTTCCATCTATGTTTAACCACGAATCTTGTAAACATAGAAGGAACACCCACCCCTTGGGGATCCGAATCTAAGCTACTCTGGAGGCACCAACCTGCACGCAGGGCGTCAGGACTGGCCACGGGAGGTGGCAGCACATTCTGGCCTCCCCGGGGAAGCTGGGGTGCCAGCCCCATCCCTGTGGTCCACTTGGTGGACTCATGACTAGGCACAGGATCTGGGTCAGCCTTGCTGCCACTTGCCCCGGTGGGGGACACCCTAATGTCTGTGCGCTCATGACAGCTCATGGCGACATTTCGTACTGGAAAAGCAGAACTTTCAAAGAAGTTCACCATAAAAAAAACCAAGCAGGCTAGGGATTCTACCCTTTCCGTTCTAAAAATGTCAAGGACAAAAAGAAAAACCCTGCAGGGTCCCCAGAGCCAGCATCACCTCCATGCAGCCCTCCTGAAGCACCAGCGACAGAGACCCTACCAAAGCATGAGCTGGAGCATCCCTTCACATACCTTGGGGAGTAAGGATGGCAAAGAACCTTTCGGAAAGTGAGGTTTGAGTCCAGAAGGCTCCAATGGGCCGCGTTCAGTGGCGACGTACAGACTGGTAGGAGTGGGCAGACAGATCACAAACAAGGTCTGCTCACACACAGGGTGAGGGCAAAGCGAAGCCCAGCAGCCACCAGCACCTCACCACCAGCTCCCCGCGAGACGAGCACAGCACCCCAACTCCACCCCGGGATGCACTGGATGCAGTCTTTACCAAAAGAGGTACTGTGAATTCTCGGAAAAAAAATGTGCCTCCCCGAGGACAACACCAAGCACAAGAGTTTCAAGTTCAGTTTCCATCTTCAGCAAGACTGCCACCACCACCACCAGGAAGTCCTCCTAAAAACAGATTTGGTGCTGAGGACAAATGGGCCAAGGTGACGTTCTTCACAAACAGAATGGCGACCATTCAAAGACCACACAGAGGAACCGAGACCCATCTCACTTCTCCAAAGTTGGATCTGGTTCAAAAAAGTCTCATGTCTGCTGCTCACCAGGCAGAGTCCAGCATCCCTGCTAAGGAGGCCCCCAGGCCAGGAGATGACGGGCCGGGGGACAGCCATCATCCATCTAGCAAGAGCTAGGACCCCTGCACTGCAGGTGCAGCTGGCCGAGGAGGAAGCCTGGCCCCCCAGTCCCCAGCACAATTGTCATAAACAAAGCTGATACACGCGGATGAGCCAATGTCACCTACCAGACATGAAGCAGCCTGCCCAGGTGTGGTGACCTCCGAGAAGCCCTGTGAAGAACAAGTGAGACATGGCTGGTTAGGGGACCGGATGGGCTCAGTGACAAAGTGTGTCTTCTCTGCAACCGCACATCCCTCGTGCATGCCCGTCGTGGTCAGAACTCTCTAAGCTACTCTGGAAGTTCCTGCAAGCAGGGCCTGACGCTGTGAGCATGCTATCGAGGAGTGACTGCCGGCAGGCTCTGTGGTGGTGACACTTTCTTTCTTAACTTAAAAGCAGAGGCCAGGAGCCCTGGACAAATGTAGTGCTGCGCCAAGCCCCCTTGTCAGGGACCCCAGGCACAGTGCCCACGTACCCACTGTCTTTCCAAGGACTGGGCCTCACTCTCTGAGCATCCTGAGTGGCCAAAACGGCAGCTGTGGTCCCAGAGGTCAGTTAGCATCTGCTCACTGGCTCATCAGCTCTGGGTGTCCCTGTCACCTCCAAAGCCTACCCGCCCTGAAGTGGCCCTGCTGGAAATCATGTGCTGGTCCACAGATCCTGAGGAGCTGCCTGAGTGACAGGGGCAGGGCCTCCGGGAGACCCAGGGACATGAGCCAGAGGCCAACTAGGAGAGAGAGGACAAGCCACCTGAAGGCTTGGGGTGGCCCTTCCTATCAGTCATCTGGAAACGCTCCCTCAAGCTCAAAGGAGTCTGGCCTTTAAAAAGGAAATCGTTATGACAATAAGGTCACATTAAGTCCAGCTGAGTAAGGGAGCCTCAGGACCCGCCGTGGGTTCACGAAACCCCGCTTCGCCTCCTGTCCCCAGCACGCTTTCTCAGCATCTGCCAGTGCCTGGTCTCTCCTCCCGAGAGCTAAGCTTCGGAAGCCCAGGGATGAGGGGGACTCTTCTCACAAGTCTGAAGCCAGGTTAAGCCTGGTTTTGTTCACATTTCATGGTCAGTTCTTTAAAAAGACATTGCCATTCTAAAGCCCGATTTTTAATGTGTAGATTTACCTTCAGAAACAAGATCACAGGGCAGTTCACTCCATCTAGCCTCAATTCTCAAAGTGAGAACTAGATCAAGGGAACAAGTTCCACCTGGCACTCTGCCTGCTCACACGCCCTCAGCCAGGGCAGACACCACATCCTGATTCTACACCCACAGCAAGACCCTGAGGATGCATTTCATGTTAAAAAGGGGTCAACTTTCAGCCTCTGCCCCAGAGCAGCCACATCAGGAAACCTCCCTTTGGGCCCTCAGGCCAGATGCCGACGTCCTGTATCTCTGCCACCTGCCAGGTCATCCTCCTGCAAAAGAAAGACAGAGGACGTCAGTGCAGAGCAGACAGGTGCCATCACCAGAGGCTGTGCCCAGGGCCTGCCTGGGACGTCCCAGGGCGGTGCAGGTGACAGTGCCTCCCTGACGGAGCGGTGGGGCTCGCAAGTCCCTGAGGTGGGAAGGGAGGCTGCTTCTGAAAGAGGACAGGAGCTGTCAGCGTCCCCCAAGCACTCCTGGACAGCCGCTCCTCCTACCGCCAGGTGACTCAGAACCAGAGTCCCTTCAGGAGGCCTGAGGCTGAGGGTCCTGGGGCCAGGTGGCCTGTGCAGTTCCCAGGACACAGGGGGGACACACTCTGCCAGCTACTGTGCAGATCAGGAGAGCCACATCT